GCTGAGAGAGCTGGGACTCTTTAGCCTGGAGAAGAGAAGGCTGAGGGGAGACCTTATTATTGCTTACAAATATCTAAAGGGTGGGTTGAAGGAGGATGGAGCCAGACTCTTTTCAATGGTTCCCAGTGACAGGACGAGGGGCAATGGGCACAAGTTGGAACATAGGAAGTTCTGTTCCAATACACGAAAAAACTTCTTTACGGTTAGGGTGACAGAGCACTGGAACTGGGCCCAGGGAGGTTGTGGAGTCTCCTTCTCTGGAGATTTTCAAAACCCACCCGGATGCAGTCCTGAGTAATGTGCTCTGGGCAATCCTGCTTTAGCAGGGGAATTGGACTAGATGATCTCTAGAGGTCCCTTCCAACTCTGAAAATTCTGTGATTCTGTGTGATTCTGATTGAAGTTAGAGGCTTTCTGAATCCCAATAAAGGATCACCTGGCAGTTTAAGAAGCCTATGTTTTATTCATTGCCCTTTCTTTGCTCCATCCATTTTGCGAGCATTTTTCTCCCATTTTCACTTCTCTGAATTGGAAGTGAATCCATCTTGTTTGCTGCTTAGTTTCTACATTGGTCATCAAATCAAGGCCAATCAGGACATGCTTGGTTCTCACTTTTGGAGTCAAGGTGCCAAGACACCTGCTACTGTCTTATGCTTCAGGGCAGTTTTTAATCATATTTAAAATTGAAGTCCCTTCCCTTACTAGATATGGGAAGTGTCAAAATTGTCTACAAAGTTTTGCCAACACAGCAATGCTAGCTAGAAATATGAAGAAAAAAAGAATCATAGCTGTGCTGGCTGCACCTCCAGCATGGATAAGAGTCTGACCCCAGATGAGTGATGCAGGCAGCCTGCAGGCAGGTAACCCGTGGGCAGAAAAAACATCTCTCCCCTACAGACCTCTGCCGACATACTTAGAAGAACCCATGTTTTGTAGCCTGAGGATTAAAATTCAGGATTTTAGGCTTTTATGCCTGCTCGTGAACTGCAGTCTCTCTGGGCCCTTAGGCACAAAAGGTGAGGACTGTGGTAACCTCTGGTGACTGATGTTCATGTAGTGGGTTAGGTGGAACAGAGAGACTATGTCTGCTGGAAAGCTCATTTTAACTGCAGAAGAAAAAAAAAAGAGAAAAAGGAGTGAGGACAAGAATGCGTAAGTTAGTTCTGTGCTAGTAAATTAAACATGCTTTGAACTATTTTCTGGCCTAGAGACCAATGGGCATAGAATGGTTTGCAAGAGCTGCTTGGCTCTTGGCCTGTTGGACAGGGTGGCCACATGCACACTGCTCATTGGGGTTGCTTCGTAGTCCATGCTGACTGCTGACCCATACCCTGGAGCTGCTTCGAAGAGTGACAGTCAGTATGAGTGGAAACCACGCCAAGAACAGCACTAGCAATTTAACAGTTAAGGCTTCAGGAATGTTCTCTGCTACTGTTTAGTTTACTAGTGTTGATGCGACCAGACCTCTAGGGGGAAATCTGCCCTCCTGGTAAGATATCTAAGCATGATTCCTAGTAACAACTACAAGAAGAAACTTCTGCCCTAGCCCTGGCATGGAAAGACTGATGCACCCATCAATATGTAAGATAGTATAAATGGGACATCAGAAAGTTGGAGACATTTCAGGAAAGTCCTGGTTGGAGAATATGACTCCAAGTAGGCAACTAGTACTAGTAAACCTAATCTTGCCTGCATGCTCTGTGAAGATTTCTTTCCTGTTATTCATTCTTTGTTGCTAACGAAACACCATCAAAAAACAAATAATGCAAAATTAACTGAGGAAAATATGTCTCTCACACTTTATCTTGCTCCATCTCTAAACCAGAATCACCTAGTATGGAGTTCTTTTCTTCAGGGCAAGGGAACAGCTTCACTTTTCCTTGCAGCAGGGAAATTGCACACACCCAGCAGGGTGCAGTTAGAGTACAGCCCTGCCTTGCAGCAGAAAGCCTGTAAGGAAGAGACCATTGTTCTGCAACAGATGCTCCAGTGAATACAGGCTACACTGCAGGGGAAAACCTAATATTCTTCCCATCAAATCCTTAATATCCCAAGGATTTCTCTCTCAGGGAGCCTTGAATGGCCAAAGTGAGCTACAACTGTGCACTTCTTTCCCTGCACTATAAAAGGTTACAGTTCTCCAGCCAAGAATTGTAGGGAAGCTAAATTTATTCCTTTCCTTTTTTACTTCTCAAGAGGGAAAAAAAAGGACTGGCTGGAATGGGTTTTCTCAAGTTATTTTCTTGCTTTTTTACGCTTATTTTTTACCTTGAATATATTAGGAACAGCAAGACTGACTTTTCCTCACAACACAGTCCCTCTCAGATATATTTATTTTGGGCTCACTTTAGTTGATGGACTACAACAAATACGACATTTTTGCAAAGTGTTTATCTGTCATTGGAGTTATATAGCTATGTATAAAAACACAGAGTGTATTTTGCACTGACTTATTGAAATTCTTCCATTTGGCTTTCCATCACTTGGGTTTTGCCTTGCGATATCACAGATTTTATTCTGTCATGACAGCTGATTTCTGTGAAAGGTAAATACTTCATGCGTGAAATGCAAACAATTCTTTCAATGCCTCATATATGAAATACACACAGTTCTTCCCCTTACCTCTCTTTTGAAAAAAAAAAAAAAAAAAAAAAGGGTTGGGAGTCTCTCTCCATTAAAAAATGCCAAAGGCACACGGGCAACTTCCCTCCTGATATTTTCGAGGTAGGGAAAACATCAAACCCCTCAGAGTCCAGCAGAAAGAGATGTATATATACCTGACAGCAAGGGAATTCCCCCTGGCTGTTCCTTACTAAGTACAATAGATACAGAAAACTAGGACAGCTTGCTATTTTAAATGAAAAGGCTAATGAAGAACTATTATCCTACTGCAAGCCCCGGGAGGTCCCCAAGTCCCACCAGAAACTTCCCACCTAGCCCTCAGAAGCCATCCCTTCTTGCCTTACCTCCCTTCTCATTCAATTGGAATTTCCCAGACAGGGTCCCTGGGAAATACCTGCCCACATGAAATACCAGTTCTGGAGGCTTTTTTACATAGCTGGGAATAGAGGTCACAGACAAGAACAGCAGACACCAAGTAAGTATGCATACCCATACACCCAGGTCCACACGTCCAGGAGATTGTGAATTTAGGAAGTTATCAACTGTATTTAAGAGTCTCATAGTCCAAAGACTGTTCACTCACCCGGTCCCCTGTAGTGCTATTGCCCACGTGGTATCTGCACTACTTCAGGAAGGATGATTTGTGGATAGCCCAGGGTGGCTCAACCAAAAGAGAGAGACAAATCAGTCAGTACTATAGCTGTATACCCAGGTCTGGGTGCAGGCAAATTTGCCCAATTTGGAAGCAGAGTTTAATTTTCAGACTCAACGACTGGACTAACTAAGCAGAGTTTAATTTTCAGACTCAACGACTGGACTAACTAACAGCAGTTTAGTTCTTGAGATCCAAGCCAATTCCTGCACATAGCACTGTGCAGATGCACCTGCAGGCTCAGAGCTCACAGCCAAGTCCCACTGGGTGTTACAGACATTTAATCACAGAAAAAAAGAGCGGTGAGAAGACCTAAGCAGATCATCCAATACATCTCATTCCCCTAAGTGGTTTGTGGGGTTTTTTTCCAAACTCAGAGAGAATTGCCTCTCACACAGCATGTAATTCAACTGCTGTTTCTCAAAACTTCCTGATAAGGACACTGATCACAGGGCCAGCCTTCCTTACACAATGCAGTCTCACCCTTCACCACTTATAATCTGATTTTGGAGGTCTGGACCTTGAAGGCAGCTTGAAGGCAGCTACAGACAGTACCAAAGGGAGAAAAGAAAGAGAGAGAGAAAGAGAGAAAGAAAGACAGAAAAGAGAAAAAAAAAGAGAGAGAGAAAGAGAGAGAAAGAAAGAAAGAAAAAGATCTACTTGCAATCAGATAAAGCATTTTACTAAGCACTTCTGTTGGCTTCTGACCATAAGCTACAAACAGCATTTCAATTTTGATATTAAATCAAACCTGTCATTATTTCCTCATAATTAGAAGGCTCCCAGAGTGAGGAAATGGCAACAATAGGAGGTGGACTGGGCAGCGAATTCAGTAGATGCCAGTTGTGCTTACTGGCAGGTAGCATCTTTGTTCTGAGTATGTGACTCAGGTTCACTCACATTCTCACATACTCCTGTGACAGTTAGCAATGACAGTGATCTATTCCCCTGCCTCCCCTCACCCTCCCTCCTCTTTGCATCTCTCCAACTACTTGTCTGACAAAATTACTCTGTACAATTAAGTGCTTAACCTAGGCATGGATCAATTTGATTTTATGTAAGTCTTGCAAAGTCATTGCTTTAGAAAAGACCTGAAATAAAAAAAAAAAAAACAAACCAATGACCCTGATTGGATACAGCATTTCAGAAGTTTTAATGCTTAGAAAAATTCTGCTTACCTCTGACTGTAAAAAATGCTAATTTTATTGGTTTGGGAGCAAGACAGGCAGACAGATTATAGGAGGTCAATGACGCAAATACAATATTAAGTGATATCCTGTGAACAATCCCTATGTTTCCTTTAGGCTTACTTGCTCAGATTATAACACTTGTTTTTTCATACTGCCTTCATTCTGTTTATCCTTTCACAACCTCTAAGCTTACTGCTGATGTTAATAAATGCCCACATTTATTAATGCAGGACTTTATGTTATATGGTTAGTTACATTACCTTCCTGTCACTCAGGTGACAAAAGGGACCTACCTTGATTCATCTGAAGACTGAAGCAGGGTCAAGAGAACGTGATTCCAGTTTCCTAGCTCTTAAACCCTGACCTCTAATCACTACTCACATTTTTTTCCTTTGGGATGCTATTGTTTAGCCCACTAACTCTGCAGACCTTTAATTTTGGAAACAAAAATTAGAAATCTCACCGTCCTTCCCTTCACCTTCTGGTGTATTCTAGTGTGTAGTTTACAGATATTGCCATATTTGTGTAGGTGGAAAATGACTGCTGTGGCATCAGTAGAAGAAAGACCATCGCCAAATCTTTCAGATGCTTCCTCTTAGGAAGGAATAGACAATGTCGTCTGTTTAGCTCGTTTTCCTTTTCTGATCAGAGTACTGAGTTGTATAGTACAGTCACCTGGGTAAGCAATTGCCATCCACAAGACCCACTACCCACTCGGTCCTGCCATCTAGGCTCAGCAGCACACCAGCTCTTTCTCAGGAAGGCCCCTCCATGAAGATGACTCCCCAGGCCAGATCCTCAGCTTTACCTAACATACTGCTTGTGCTGCGTGAGATTTGTTTGTGACACAGTGCTAGAAAAAGCAGCACAAATACATGGCAGCTCTCCAAACCGATCAATCATACTGATTAATTTCAAGAAGCCACAGGTGGTAAACTTATACCCCAAAATAGTTCCCCCAGAGCCTCGTTTCCTGTTGCTCATGAAAAATGATGGAAAATAAAATCCTTTCCCTTTGGATTCTTCTGCCCTTTAAGGCTTCCCAGCATGAGGGAAATCAGTTCCTCTGCAAAAAGGAAGCTCTTTTCCCTGCCAAGCTTGTGAAGCTCCATGCAAACAGCATTTACATATTTGCATTTCTTACCGTGTATTATTCTGCTTACAGAACAATGCAAGTGGAAATGCGGATGGGGGTGCTGTGACAGAAGCAGTGATCATAGATTACAGATGCCCTGGAACCAGATGTGCTGGGAATTACACAAAACAAAGAGAAAACTACTTCTCTCTCAGAAAGGACTTACTTAAATCTTTTACAGAGTGAAAGACACAGTTTGCTGAGATAATGGTCCACATCATTGTAGCAGCGCCTTTTGCCTTCAGTTCCCACTGGCTGAAAATACAGCGTTTACAGCTAAATTCTCCATCCAACGTAGAGATTTGCACTGACAGTAAAATAATGAGTAGATCAGAGAGGGCGAGACCTGATCTGATTTAGGGCTTGCCCCTCGTCCCTGCTACCTCACCACCCATACCGGGCTCCCGCTACACCGTCGGTCTCGGGCCGCAGGCC